TGAAGCGAAATGATCTCTCTCATGGTGATTGGAGTTGGAGGTGTGGATCGTCTTTGATGAGGAGAACTTGGAGATTAGCCGTTCTGCTGTCTCCGAGTGCTTTTTGGCGCCACGGCGTTCCCGCTCTTTTTGCCAAGCCTTTCGCGCGCTTTTTTCGCGCCTCTTTTCTGCAACGGCAAGGGATTTTCGACAGGAATGTGAAGAACGAACTTGTTTTTTTTTAATATTTACAAATCCGGAGGGCGGCAGTAGTTCTGTTCTTTGAGGCACCGATACCGCTTGGGAAGACGCACCTCTGCCGGCCACCGAGCAGCGTGACACTCATGGAGGCAGATCATGAGTGCGTCCTCATTTCATCTGATTCTGAAGACCCGCTTCCGACAACAACGAAAAGGCGAGCTGGCGGCGGCCGTCAAGACCAGCCACCAGCAACAGTACATTCTAGCTCTGTTTGAAGCCAATTTCTTGCTTCTTATGATTTTAGTCTGATGTGATTTATTGTTGTGAATGGCGTAGCCCGCCACGAAGAATGTGTCGGCGGATGGGCTGAAGTATCAAGATGAGCGCAAGCTACCAGCCTACTACAACGAGGACATCATTCCCGACCCCGAGACCGGGCTCAACCTTCCTGTCCGCATTCTTGACTACTTCTACTTCTGTGATGCCGTGCAGTTTGTACCTCTCGAGCACTTAGGTACGTTACGGGCGACGACCTCTTTGTCGCGCGGTATCAGCACTTCCCACCACCCGTCAGACACGGGTCAGTGAAAGACTGACTGGCGATTGCACGTGACGACAATGAAGACAGGGCCACACTCTTGGGCTATGGCTTGGCCGTGCTGCCGCCTGAGAAGACAGGTGCACTCCACTCTATCATCTTCTTTTCACATAACTGGCCAGCTCTCTCGACATTATGAGAGCAGCACTCACACCACAATGATCTTTGGATCGTCCGTGCGTGTGTGTTGTGCGTTGTCGTTTTTGACGACAGCTGAACTCGCCGAGGGAGCAGCATCCAGCACGGCGATCGCGTTTGAGGTCGACGAGTGGTCCATCGAATACGGCTCTCCTCCCATGCTCTGGCTTAAATCCAAGCGCGCATGGTACGCACAGCCAACGGCATCGGCACGTCAACGGCAAGGTCAAGTAATCTTGAACAACGCGTTTGTTGTTTCACCGCAGGTACCAGTTGCTGCAGCCGGAACCCCGCTATCAGCGCTACTTTCGCACCGTTCAGAGCAAGTTCGATGTGTGCACCGGCATTCATAAGCTCATGGAAGCGGACAAGAAGGTCTCCTACGCCGACGTGGTCGCGCATGTACGTGTCTTGCCCCACCGAGCCTGTGCCACAGCCCCCGCCCCCGCCCCCGGGGAGACACCTCCTAATGCAACGCCCGCCGGGCTCCGGGATCGCAGATGCACGATCGCTACGGCATAACGGAGGACTACCTCGTTAAGGAGGCAGCCTCGGTCCTTAAAGGCCTGCTGAAGGCCTACCCCGAGTACAGGACCACTCCCTTCTTCCGCAAGCTGGTGCGCGTACTCTCCGCCCTGGGCAAGTCGTCGCTCGTTGGGTGGTGGTGGTGGTGGTGGTGGTGGTGGTGGTGGTGGTGGTGGTGGTGGTGGTGGTGGTGGTGGTGGTGGTGGTCGTGGTGGCACTTCATCTCTCCGCAACGCACTCACACACGTTTCATTTTCTTGTTCGTTTGGCCGTGGGCGCTTCTAGAGGGACGTTTCTACCGCCATGAAGAGCCGCTCGGTCAAGCCCAACACGTCGCCACGAAAGGAGAAAGAGGTGGACCGCGCACGCGCTTCCGATTCTCCCGTACTCCCACCTTCACCTCCTCCTGCTCGTCGGCAGCTTAGCAATTATGCGTGCATCGTGGCTTACTCTCAAATTTCAGTCGGCCACTTCAATCCGGCGGCGCAGGCGACTATGTCACCATTGCAAGACGGAGCTCTCCTCCACCGCGATGGACCATCAGAAATGTGGCGACTGCCGCAAGTAAGAACCACCGTCACCCTGTCTTTATATATATATATATATATATATATATATATCTGCCTGCTGCTGCTGCCTGCTGCTGCGCCTGCATTGCTCTCACGGTGACTGTGTGTTGCCACTCCTGGAAGGGTGTACTGCGCGGACTGTCTGAAAGACAACTATGAGATCAAGCTCGGCACCATCAAGGGCACCCCGTGGGTGTGTCTCGCATGCGAAGGCCTGTGTACGTGTAAGGCCTGCCTCAAGGTTCGCGACTTACGCTCCCCCCCCGCCAAAGGCCCCTTCAGACAGTCTCTGTGCTCTCGGCCTCTGCTCACACACACACACACACACTCTCTCATCCCTCCACGCATGACTCAGTCCAACGGAAACGGAGACGGAGCGAGCAACGCGGGGCGGAAGCGCAAAACGCCTTCCGCTGCAGACAGCGAGGGGCTCAGGAGGAAGGAGGACGAGAAAAGGAGAAGACTGGCCCGCGACGCAGAGGAGGCGCGAGAGAAGGAGGAGCTCAAGTGCCTCGCCAATGAGGCGAAGGGCAAGGAGAGCGCGTACGTTTTCCCGCCCACGAGCTGAGAACGAAAGTTGGGCCATTGTATGACACAGCTGCGCGCTTGACTGCTTCCTGCAGGCCAACCGATCCGAAGGAACGGGAGCGCCGCGAGGGGAAGGAGAGACGGCGGCAGGAGCAACTGCAGGCCCAGGAAAAGCGCGTGGTGCGTGCACTGGTGTCGCGCTAGATGGCTTGCTGGTGAACAGTGTTCGACTCGCGAAAGTGAAAGTGAGAGTTCACGTGTCTTGACTCAGCCAACAACATGTTGGCAAACAGGAGCTCGCGGGTCAGAGAGAGCCGCGCAATCTCGAAGCGGCGATGAGCCAGCCGCTGGGCTATGATCGACACGGGAACCGATATTGGTGGATCAGAGAGCCACTTTCGCCAAGTTCGCATAATCCTTCTCACACCATGATTGAAATTTTACTGTTTGTTGATTGATTGTTGGTTGGTTGGTTGTTTGTTTGTTTGTTGGTTGTTTGTTTGTTACAGGGAAGCAGGTAGGACGGATTTTTGTCGAGCAGGCGCCCAACCAAGGTGGGCACCCTTCGCAACTGGAGGTGCTGCAGTGGTCCTTCTACGAGACCAAGGAGGACCTCGCGCGCCTGATGCGGGACCTCAACGTGAACGACACCAGGGAGAAGGCCCTCTACCCCGAACTGAAGCGGTACTACGACAACATCCCCTACGCCGACCTGTGCGACAAGGAGAAGAAGCAGAAGAAGGAGAGAGAGGAGAGGCAGCGGCGCGCCGAGGTCAGGCGCGACCGGTTCATGTGCTCGAGGGCAGAGCCAACCGAGGAGGAGGAGGAGGAGGAGGAGGAAAAGAAGAAGAAGAAGAAGAAGGTGGAGGAGGAGGTCAACCAGCGGACAAACGCGATGAAGGGAACAAAGGCAACGGAGGCGACGCCAACGAAGCTAAGGAGGCGGGGTCGAAGAGGCAAGATCCCATGGACGTGCACCCGCGGGTCAGTCTGGAACAGGTTGGCTCTCGCCTCGCGCCTCTGTGCCGCGTGCGAGAACTGATACATCAGTTCGGTTATGTATGATGCGTGGCGGTGGCGGTGGCGGTGGCGGTCGTGGTGGTGGTGGTGGTGGTCGTGGTGGTCGTGGTGGTCGTGGTGGTCGTGGTGGTCGGGCCACACAGATTCGTGAGCAGATCTTGGGCCTCGAGCTCAGCCTCCCGCACTACATGCTGCTGGACCGCCTCTCCTATACAAAGGAAATAACTGCCTGGCGACAGGTACCTCCAGTACAGCAGCATTACCGCTGCTGCGCTTTTTCTTTTCTAACAGCAAAGCCGCACACGTCTGGTGTACTACGCAGAAGGTGGCAAAAGAGCGCAGTCCAGCGGTGCTGTGTGAGCTGATGCTCTTCATGGAGGCGCATTTGACCAGCGAGGCGTTGAAGGTACCTCGACTGTTCTTCACTCCCGTCATTCCTTTCATGACTCGTCAGGCCCTGACGTGTGTCTGTCGTCCGTGTGTGTTTGTGGGTCAACACCCCAACGTTAAAGGGCTGGCACGACTCGCCGATGCAGAAGATATGGCGACGCTTTTGCCGCGGCCGCGAGGCCACATCGCTGCGTGAGGTGGCGCTGGCGCTGGACCACCTCGAATGCGCCATCCAGTGGCAGCACGCGAAACAAGAGGTAAGCGCAACCACCACAGAGCTTTGTTGTCTCCTGGGACCCCAAACTTGCCTTGCCTCCTTTTGGCCCTCTCATTTACTCTCTCTCTCTCTTGCGTGTCGTGTGTCGCGTGTGAACGTAGTGGAGAAAGTGGAAGGTTGACACACAGCTTAAGCCGTGCACCGGCTGCGACCGCAGCTGCCACCCAATGCAACTGAAACTGGTGCCCAGCGGCGAAAGGTACCGTACTACCACCATTCGTGGACCATTGATCAGTCCCTGGTTGGCGTCGAGGCTGGTGGCGCTGAGCCGCTCTTGCTTGCTTGCGCGCAGGCAATGCAGGTATTATTGCTCCTCGTGCCTCGCCAACTCCACGAACCCCGGCCTAATGCTGCGACGAAGCAAACGGCCGGTGGATGACGACGAAGACGATGACGACGCTGACGAAGAAGAAGACGACGGAAAAGGAGAGTGAAAAGGGGTCTGTCCAAACAAAGAAACCGCCAGGTTCGCTGTAGCACTCCAGTGTGTTTCACGACTTTCTTGTTCGTTTGTGTGATGTTGTTGAAAGTTGCATTTTGGTGGTCTCCTGACGCCACCACGTTGGGGGCTGTACAAGCGGAAGGGGGGGGGTGCTGCTTACAGAGGATGGGGGGGGGTAGTGCTGAGGCGGGGAACTGTAGCAGGGGCGAGCCACGCAACTCACTGACCAGAGAGAAGAGCTTCGAGGGCCAGGTCGAGGCTGCCCTTGTGCTTGTCGAGCAGCTTCACGTTGTGCTCCACGTTGGTGAACCCTGTCAGGGGGGAAAGTAGAAGAAGAAGAGAGTGGGTGAGTCCAATTGGAATTGAACGGTTGGAGGGGGGCGGTGCGGGAGGGTGTGGATACCCATCTCGGCCAAGGCGTTGAGCTGACCGGGGTACTTGCTGTACAGACGCCTCTGCTTCTCCTCGGCCTCTTCTTGCAGCCTCGCGGCCTCCTTCTGCCTCAGCATCTCCTTTTCCATCTCTTGCTTCATCCTCAGCGCCTCGGCCTCCGCCTCCTGCTTCATCCTCTTCTCGCACTCCTCCTGCTCGAGCTTTTGCCTGAGCTCCGCCTCCTCCTTGGCGAGTTGCCTCTCGAGCTGCGCCAACCTCTCCTCTTCCTCGCGGCGCTGTCTCTCCTCTTCCTCCTGCTGCTGCTTCCTCTTCGCGTCTTCTTCCTCTTGCCTCCTCCTAAATTCCTCCTCCTCGGCAAGTCTCCTTGCCTCCTCATAGCGGCGGCGTTCCTCTTCCTCGGCCTCGGCCATAGCCTTAGCCCTCTCGGCCTCAGCCATAGCCTGAGCCTCGGCCATGGCCATGGCCTCGGCCAAGCATCGTTCCTCCTCTTCCAGGCGCATCCGCTCCAAGCGCTCCCTTTCGACGGCCGCGTTGTCCTGGGTCACGGTGATGTCCACCCACAGACGGCTGCCAAAGGCCACGCCATCCTCGGTGAAAAGGCGCCAGTACTGGACGCAGCGCCCCGGGCGCGAGGGCGCCTGCAGGTGCACGCCGATCTCGGTTTCCTCGCCGGGGCCGACCACACGGTTGATGGCGCCTACGCCGAGCACGACCAGCTGGTCGTCCTTGGGGTCGACCATCTTCAAGACCACGCCCTTGGGCCAGGGTGCGGAGCTCGTGTTCTTGACAGACCACGTCTGCACACAACGCAACCGACCCGAGCCAGCAGTACGCTTAGTACCGGAGCGCGTCTTGGAGAGCGAGTGGGGGCGGGGGAGGGGTAATCTCACCTTCTGGAACTTGACCTTCGCGGTTACGTTGGTGCCGTCGGGCACGGTCACATCTCGGACGAAGACAGCCTCGTACTGGGCGGTGGGCTGATCGGAAGTATGCCGCTTCGACTTGGCGTCGTAAACGTTGAGGCGCAGCACCTGAAAATCAATGACGATATGATGCATCCAATGTTAGCAATTCGATCGTCTCATCACCAGCTGTTGCTAACATTGGATCTTAGAAGATTTGAGGGAAGCTGCGAGGTACCGTGGGCTGCAGGCGCTTTGCTTCTTGAAGCTCAAGGTCCGAACCGAGGGTGATAAGCTGCCAGTTTTAGGGATGGAAAGGTGAGCTACAAGTTGGGGCCATAACATGATGAGTCAGATGGCAAGATACCTCTTCCTCGTCGTCGATGTATTTGAGCTGCACGTTTTCGGGTGCGAGCACGAAGTGCTTGGAAACGAGGCTGTGCAGCTCGGCAAAGGTGATCCCCTTGGGAACGCTGAACCGCCTGATGTCCTCATCGAGCTTTACCTTGAGCGAAATGTGGTCCGCCATGGATGTTGGTTGGTAGTGGCGATGCGCTGCTTGATGGGTCTTCTGGTTGTGGATGTACTACAGAAGATGCGATGCGCTGTTGTTGTAGGACTGGAAATTTACCTCTGCTGCTTTTGCGAGCCCTTTCTGGTTTGGAATTCCCTGAAGCCCTCCGCCACGTTAAGCGAAGCTGTCCAGCCGCGCGAATTTCCACAGAACTGCACCTCTCAATAATCAACCTGGTTGGGCGGTGGCTTTGAATTACAAAAAGGAAAGTGTGGCTCTCGGTGCGGCAACAACGCCAAGGAGGGCCTGACCAAGAGGTACAGTCCGCGACGTTCATGGAAGCCCCGAGATTGGTATTCGGCTTGTCCGCAGCCATCGTGTTGGTACTCCTCGTGGTCCTCGAGTCCAATCCGGCGGCCGCGCAGACGCTGGAGTGCGCCAACGTCCCGGCACTGGAGCATAACTACTACCAGTACGTGCTGTTCCGTAAGCGCCTTCACCAGGAGGTCCTCCATCACAAGCGGCACCCTCTCCTCCGAAGCGATGCGCTTGACCAGCTGGCCCTCACCCACTCCGGTACCAAACATCCCCCTCCCCCCATCGTTGTTGATCGTACACCTTTTTTGTTTTGCCAACGGCTGTCCTTGGGGTGCGCGTTTAGAGTACATGGCAGGACGGGGAGCTCTCTCCAATTCGAGTGTGGCCTACCGGCGATCGACGATCGTCTCGAACGCCTACAGCTACTTCACCGCGAACGCCACCCTCACCGACCAGCGGTACGCGCCCCTCGGCGTGGTGAGGATCGACGAGCTCTACGGCACGGGGTCCGACACCCGCCAGCTGTGGTACGACTACTTCGAGAACAACCCGCAGGTGGTGGGTGCCTCCAGCAGGAACTATCACAACTGGATCGGGGTGGGCGTTCACTGTGCCGGTACGTACACCATCACCATAACCACAACACCACCGCAGCCTTGGCAAGGCTGGTGATGGCGCTGGCTGATGCGGGGCGCGTGTGCGGTCAGGATCTGGAGCGAGCACGGTGGCGTGGGCCACTCTGATCCTCGTGACCGTGTGCCACGCGCCAACGGAGAATTACCAGTTGCCCGCCTTCGACAACCAGATGTGCGCCAGCCTCACCACCGAGCAGGAGCAGTGCCTCACCGACACCAACGCCACCGGCGACGCCCTCTTCTTCGCCAACGGGTCGTCCGCCTCGGGTCCCGTGGCCTTCGCCTGTGGCACGCTGTCCATGGACGGCGCCAGTGCACACCCCGTTACGCCCGCCACCGAGATCGCGTACGTTCCCGTTGCTTGCCTTCACCTCAGTTCAGCCCGGAAATGTTGTTCGCATGGTGTCGTGTGGTGTCGTGTCGTTGGTCGTGTCGTGTCTTACCGTGCTGTTACCGTTCGGTGTGGTTCTCCATCCAGTACTGCGGTGATCACGGCTCCCGTGACAAGCGTCGAAGCCGGAACGCTGTGCATGACGCTCACGCATGATTTTAACGCGGGCGTCAACGACATCACCTCCATGATCTTCCACTTTGGCGCCGCCGGCCAGGAGACTGAGTCCGCGCCGCTGTACAGCGTGCCGGGTCCGTGGGCGTCGCCCCTGGAGCTGTGCTGGTCCTACGGCTCGACGGGCCTGCCCATGAGCATGGCCCTCAACGGCCGAGCCTACCTCAACATCCACTCCCAGGCCAGCGACGCCAGCCCGCCGGGAAGCTACAACGGGTGGATCCGCGGCCAGATCCAGGCCCTGCCCGGCTGGTGGAACATCGACTCCGGCCTCGCCGTCTCCTACAACAACAACAACTGACCAACCAACCAACCAACACTACCGGACGACGACGTCGATGATGAAGAGAGAGAGAGAGAGAGGGGTGATTGGAGAGCGGAAGAAAGGGGAAGAGCGCAATATTTAAGTGGCGGAGACGCGCACGCAATAGACACTGTCTCAAACCAACGCACACAACGCAACGATGGCCCGAGAGCGCTCGTTCCCCGTACCGGAATTGGAGGCGGTTGGCGGGTGGTGAGTGCCACGGCGCTGCAGGTCAGCGGCTACTTGTGCAGCCACTTGAGTCCGTCGCCGATCTTGAGCTCTGGCGCCGTGACCTCCGTCTCGTTGGGGGCGTGCAGGGCGTCCACTTGCATCTTTTCCTCTGCCGGAAGAAGCCTCAGCCGAGGGGAACTTTGGGCGGCGGCGGCGGCGGGCAGCAGTGCAGCGCGGCGAGGCGAGCATGTGCGTGCGTACCCATCCAGACCTGCTCGAACTCCCGGCCATCCGGGCAGATGAGGCGCCCGTTCCTCCGCCCCACCTGTGCGCAGCGACATCACGCCAGCGCCGTTGAGCGCCCGCCACACCACCCGCCGCCGCCACCGCCAAGAGCCACCATCACGGGCTCGAGGGAGAGGGGAGAGTGCGGTTACCTTCCACTCGCCGGCAAATTGGTGGCCGCAGGGCCACGTGAAGACGCCCCGGCCCACGCGGCGATCCTTTTCGTAGCTGCCCACGTACGTGGCTCCATTCCCGTACTCGCGGCGGCCGAACCCGTGAGCCTGGTGGGTGATGCGGCGGCGGTGGTGTGTCAGACGAGGAAGAAGAAGAAGAAGAAGAAGAAGAAGAACCAGCGAAGCGTGCTATGGGGACGGGGAGGGGGAGGGGGATGGGGAACCTTCGTCTGCTGGAAGTCGCCGGTGTACACTTCCCGCTTGCCGTTCTCCAGCCAGGATTTGGTGCCCTTGCCGTTGAGCTCATTCCTGCCGTGCCGCGCCAGGGGGGGAAAATCGACGGGATATCAGTCGGCACCTTCGATTGTGCCCAAAGGACCCGCCGCCGCCGCTGCCACCACTCCGTAGTGAGCGCGCACCCCTTCCAGGTTCCCTCGAACAAGAAGCCGTTCCTGTGGGTGGGTGGTGCAGCGGTTTGAGGTGAGTCCAAAGGGCCGGGTGGCAAGAACAGCCTCAAGGTTCCGGCGGCGGCGGCGGCAGAAGCGTACCTGGTGAGGAGGGTGCCGGGGCCTTCCTGGTGGCCGTCATGCCACTCGCCGACGTAGTAGCCGCCGCCTCGCCACACGAGCTTGCCCTGCCCCTTCCGGGTGTCGTTTTCCCAGCGGCCGTGGTACCAGGTCCCGTTTGGCCTGCGAGGCGAGCGGGGACGCACGCAGATGTGCGCGGGGGGCGCGGGGGTGAGCGAGGGGCAGCAGACAGACGCTTCCTCCGAAGCAAGCAGCGCATCAGGTGAAGTGGGTGGGCGTCGTCGCTGCTGGTTCGTCGTACCAGATGCACTTGCCCTGTACGGTCCGCCCGTAACCGGAACAACGATGAAGGGGGGCGGCGGCGGCGGAGAGGAGATCGCCTGTACGTCAGCAAAGCCACAAAAAAAAGCCCCATCCACGCGCGCGGTACGACGGGAAGAAGAAGGAGGAAGCTCGTACGTAACCGTGCCTCTTACCATCTGAAGAAGCAGCAGAAGCAGAAGAGGAGGAGGGAGGGAGGGAGGGAGGAGGCCCACGGGTGAGTTGACACGTAGGTGGAGTGAAACCAAAGAGGGGGGGGGGCGAGGGGTTGCGTCGTTCGACAGGTGCTGTAAAGGTACCCTTCCATTCGCCGCAGTACTGCCAGATCGGGAGGGGACCGCCAGATGTGTCGCTGTCGCTGGGGGCCTTGTCTTTCGTCTCAAAGCCAATGCCCCGGAAAGGCACGCCCGGCTTCGGTCTCACCTGCACGCCAAGGCGGTTGTGGCCACGCACGCACGCACGCACGCACGCACGCACGCACGCACACGAAATACGGTGAGATGGATGGGATTGGGATGGGATGGGCGTAGGGCGTGAGACGACGCCCTCCCTCCGCCCCACACGTTCCAATTAATGGCGCCAGGCCTGCAACGTACGTTCTGGGCACGCCACAGCCACAGCCAAGAGCTGTGCGCGCATCCCACACACGCAGACGAGGCTCGCGTTAGCGGCCGCGCGCGGGGGGGAGGGGGAGGGCTGTGGAGGTCAAACGGAGTGGTACCACTCCTGGGGCTTGGCCTCAAGAAAAGCGTCGCGTGAGCGGAGGAGGATGAGGTCGTTCGGCGTGTAGTCCTTCTCCTTCTTGTGCTCGTCCGGCTGAAGAAGGCTGAGCAGCGTGATGCCGTCCGCGTCCCTCATGCACAAACTTCGCCTGCAACCACCACGTACGTACACGCGATTGATCGCATGGCGCCAGCCAGTCAACAGGCCTGTACGTACCGCGCGCGCCTCCTTTGCCAAGCGAGCGGGTGAGCGGGAGATCTTAAGAACGTACCAGAGGTGTTCGTCCTGGGTCAGGCCGTGCCAGTACCTGCAGGTCAAGGCTGCCCCCCCCCCGACAATTTCATGAGCGCCGAGAGATCATAAGAAGAAGTTATGAAGTCAGCAAAGAGGCGTGTAAGGCTGGGGTGGTGGTGGTGGTGGTGGGTGGGGGCAAGTAGCACGCTGCTGGGGGATTTGGGGAGGCGCTGGCGCGCACCGGCTCGGGTGAGTAGGTCCTCGCCGCTGAGGCAAGAGAAGATGCGCAGCAGCACCTCGGGCGGAAAGTCTGTCTCGTCCCCCCTGTCCTCCACCACCCGCTCGCTTGCCATTCTTTTATCGATTCGTCGCACGATAACGTCTGTGTCGCAAACGAAATGAAAATCATTTTCATTTCGTAACGTCTTCTGCCGCAAACGAAATAAAAATACAAATACCAAACGAAATAAAAACAAAATGAAATACGAAACAAAAAAGCTAAACGCAAATTGAAACTAACTAACCAACGGAAAACAAAAATAAAAACAATTTCACGACGTGAAGTGCGAGGGCAGCACTTAGATAACAAGCAGTTCGTTCGCATCACGGACGAGCAGAAGCCCGAGATCCTCAAGTTTATCGACGAGAGCGATCAATATCAATTTGAGGACTGGGCCATCATCGGGGAGACCAACGTGGAGAAGAGGGTTAACTCTGCGAGCTGAGGTTTCGGCGTTGGCCGGGCTTCTGGGCCAACGTGGTGAGACGTCTCCTGGGCGGCAGCGTGTCGATGCCCTTTGGCGCGCGCGCGCGCCTCGAGGTCGCCACCGTGTGCGCATGCTCGTGGCCGGCACGTTCCGGGTACCGCCACGGTGATCGCGGTCCTGCCGCTGCATGCAGCCTCCACCCACGTTCTCGAGTCGACAGTCGAAGCGCTGCGAGCCGGCGTTAAACTCTCACGGCGATATGGCGGCGGCATCGGCCGTGCGCAGACGAGGCCCGTGTGGGGTGCCCGCCCGCGGTGAAGAGCGCGCGGCTGCCGGCTGTCCACCTCGCTCGCGTTGGCGTTGTTGGAGTAGCCGCCGGCAAAGGTCATGACGGTGCGTGCATGCCGCTTCTGCTTGTTAGCCAGCGCTGGCCTATTTCTGCCCCACGAAGAGGCTGGCGCCGCTAGCGTCTTGGCCGTCGTGACACGAAGGCGCCGTTGTTGATCAGCCCCCGGGGCGTTGTCTCGGAGCCCACCACGTGGTCGCCGTAGAGATCCCGGTCGACACCGGTGCCCGCGGATGTTATTACCGGCCACCCAGCTGCTGCCGCCGCTCTTGACGAGAGTGTCTTGAGGAGCACGCCGGTGCTCGCCTTGTCCGCGCGCGCGGGCGTGTCCGGCGATGAACTGGCGACTGACTGACTGGGGCTGGGCGACGATGGAGCAGTTCACTGGCGAGACACCATCGAACCGCCCGACATGCGGTAGGTGTCCGTGACCGCGAGCAGCAGCGAGACCATGGTGCTGCTGCTGCTGCTGACGATGATGATGTCGGAGGTCGAGGTGTCGAGCCGTGCCGGCGCTGATGGTGGTTGGCGTGCTAAAGAGAGCACGAGAACTCTTTAAAAATGAAATATTAAAAAAAAAACAAAAAAACGGTGGTGCGGTCTGGTGACGTACGGTGCCGTGTGAGACGCGGTGCGGAGGCAGTTGTTCTTCGGATTCGTTGGGCAGGCGCACCAATCGTCTCCAGCGAGATGAGCTCCTCGCCCTTGCTGCAGCAAACGCGCGCACATACCAGCGTCAGACGCACGCGCACATACCAGCGGCTGCGCGTGCGCGCCTGTGCTGTGGGTTGAGGAGTTGTGTACATGGAGCCTGCAAGTTTACCCAGGATGGGCGCCAAGTTGCGTTCGTTCTTCTTGCTGCGCGGGGTCAGCAGCTTGGCGGGGTCGCTCAGAGGCCTTGCGAAGATGAATGCACCCTTTTTCATGAGCGGATGGGCCTCCATTGGGCCAATTGAGCAAAGATGGCGTCGCCACAGCCTCCTGTGCGATCGACATCCCCACCGCCATAGGGCGTGATTTTTCTAAGTCAGTTTCGCCGTGGGTGGCGCTTATAATAAATGAATTTACCCAGCGTCCATCCGAGGAACAGCTTTTGCCGACCAGGAACAGCCACCTGCCCAACACCCACGCCATCCGTGAACACGCACGACACACACACACACGACACACACACACACACAAGCCGGTACCGACGGAGAGCTTTTTGTTGCGGGCGTTCACTATGAAATGTGTGCGGCCACGAAGAGAGAGAGAGAGATGGGAGGAGGTACGGGGAGCCGGGCATGGTGGACATGAGAGAAGGGATGCCAATGACGGGGAGTGACGGGCCGCCGCGACTGGGAGCGCCGCAGGCTTGCGCTTGCTGGGCGTAGCACCGACGGCGTCATTGTCGTCGCCGCCGTTGTCACCCTTCTCCTCCTCCAGCTCCTTGTCGTACTCCGCGTCGCCACCGTCTCTGCTGGTAACGTTCGTGCTGCTGGAGCTCTGGTCGCCCTACGTAGGGCGTCAACCGAGACCTGGGCAGCACTCCCCGCGCACTGCCAGCTGTCACTGCCGTCACCGCCGCTGCCGCCGCTCGGCCCGAGCGTGGCCAGGCCGCCGGGCTGGCGGGGGGTGCAGCCCGTGAGGCTGCGGGGGCCGGGGCTGGGGCTGGAGGAGGTTGGTGGTGGCTGGGTGGTGGTGGAGGTGGAGGTGGAGGTGGAGGTGGAGGTGGAGGTGGAGGTGGAGGTGGAGGTGAGGAAGGCGAGGTGGCTCGAGTTGTCGAAGCCAACCAGGCCAGCGCGCTGGCCGTGAGCCACAGCCGGCACTGCACTTCCACACCTCCATCTTTTGGCGGTGGGCCGCCTCGTCCTCCGCCTCGTCCCCGCTGCTCGACTCCAGCTCCCCGCCCTGCCCCCCCCCAATCCAAATCGACACGACCAGCGCCTGGCTGCTGTCGACGATTGGTTGGGCGCA